TTGCATGTTTTGTGGTCTGGTGGATTTGATGAGCATAGATACGCGAGGTATTATTTGCGTGCAGAAGTATTGCTGCCTTTCTGTCTGAGAAGTCAGGTTGGATTAAAACTGTATGGCTCTCAAGATCACACGCACCGCAAACTCAAAGAAGCAGCATTATGCTGTGGGAGGGCTTCCATTAGAGAGCTTCCTGACGGACCAGAAAGCTGCACCGGAACTTCCCGTGTCACTTCTATACGTAAACTTGCTTCCAACATATTATCATTGTTCATTTATAAAACGGTGGAGCGGAACTGGCGCAGCGTGGATCAGGGAGAGCATGATGATGAGGAGGAGGAGGAGGAGCTAGCGGTTCCGCCCTATGATTTTTGGGCCATCATGGACGCGTTTTGGAATCAGTTTTGTGCCACATTTCCAGAGGCGGCTGAGGAGGATGATGATCACATTCAAGGGAGGATGTTAGTAAGTCCTTACGATCAAATATTCAGGACGTTAGGCCTACACCCACTTGAAGTCTACCTCAAGTTCGCGAGCAAATTGTCCGGGGTGTATACCACCAATAGCACACATGCTGATCTCACAATTCCTCCATAAACGCGTCCGCTATACGGATTATACGTAGGACCTCTATGCGGGGGCAAATCCTACGTCCGCGGAGGGTTCCTAGACGCTTTGGGGAGGTAAAGTAACGTTTTTGGGCTTCGGGCGGCGCCCCCCGGCGAAATCGATCACTTTACCTTTCTGAAACCCCCGGCGACAGTCTGCGGACGAAAAATACCACAGCCGAGTGAGAGCATGGCGCTACCATCTCAGCGCGCTGCGCGCGGTGGACTTGCTGCGCTGCGCGCCTGACCTGACACCTGTTCGCGAGGGTCATTTCTCCGCTCTGGCCAGCGACGAAGTCGAAATTTTCTCCCGCGCTGCGCGCGGGGCGGGTGCGGCGACTCTGTGGCAGCGGCGTCTGCGGCGGCGGCGGCTGCGCGGAGCGGCCTCATTCTCCGGCGAGGGCGCGATCGCTTGCACGCCGTGCGCGAGCGACACATGCAGCTGCGCCAGTTCTGCACCGCTACGCGCGCTGGATCCCGCCGATTTTTTTCTCCCGCGCTTCGCGCGGCAAGGAGGCGCTCCAGACCAAAACCGGTGCCTGGGCGCTGCGCATGGAGGTGGTCTAGAACATGTCCGAGGAAGCCATGGACTTGCTCTCCGCTATAATCTCCACGCGCGCGCGCGCGCGCGACGACGACGACGACGACGACGACGACGACGACGGCCGGCCGGCCGGCCGGCCGACCGACCGGGGCCGGGGCCGACGGCGCAAATGGCGTCCGTCGACGCCTCTGGCTTCGGCTCTGCGTCCCCGGGGTAAGACCAGGCGTCCCTGGCGTCGTAGCGACCGTAAATGTACTTTTCCGGATTTCCGACGATGTTGCTTCTGTTTATGGGAGCTGGACCCTGCCGAGGCTTCCAAGGGGGATGATGATGCCGAGGCTTCCGAGGGGGATGATGGTGCTGCTCCCGCGGAAGATGGTGCTGCTCCCGCGGAAGATGGTGATCATGCTGCGGAAGAGGATGATGAGGATGATGATGCTATGAATGCAAGGCAAGCGCAATGTAAACGAAAAGCTGCAGCGAAAAGGAGCAACAAAAAACATCAGCATCAGCAAAAAACAATAAATGCTGAGGATGATGCAAAGTTCAGCTCCCTTGGGATCAAAGCAGCGGATCTGAAAGACCTACAAGATGTAGTTTTAGGTACTACCGCGATGGCCCGCATGGAGGTGGATCTGAAGGTGCATGGACACTTCGAGAAGCGGCGCCTACTCTGTCACAGTAAAAAAAGCGACAACGTAATGTACTTCTGGTGCTACTGCCAAGGGCCCTATTTGACTGATGTACAGTTTCAAGCAAAAGAGGAAAAACGCCGACTAAACGAGACACCGCACAATGACCCAGCAGGAGAGCAGGTGGCGCATGATGAAGAGACCAAGCGAATCACAAAGTATGGTTGTGAATCACAATGTTGTTCCATCATTTTCAAGTATGACTCAAAAGCACGGGATTGGAAGTGCTCACAATGCACTGACCAGCAAACCAATTCTCGCATCAAATGACCATAGGCACTATTGAAATTATAGATTTGCTTCTTCTCAATGGTGATATACCGCTTGTGCTTAATGAGATCGTCCGTATCCCACTCAAAAGACACTGTAAAATGAACCCCACCATTATTACCACCAACGTGAAAGAATTGGTATTCAATCAAAATTGGTTCATCGTCATCAAAGTGCTTGTTCAGTTCTTTGATAGTGCCATAGTCTGTATCACCGAAAATCTGATAAATCTGACTGCGATCGATAATCGCGGCTGAGTAAGGTTAAAATGCAACAATTCCGGCGTAAGGCTGGTACAGGTAATCTCGATAGCCAAGAAAGAGC